ACCTCTCCAAATCCGCCAGCTCGTGCTGGGACTGTTTCCGGGACTGGCACTTCTCCAAATCCGCCAGCTCGTGCTGGGACAGTTTCCAAGACTGGTACCTCTCCAAATCCGCCAGCTCGTGCTGAGACTGTTTGCGGGACTGGCACTTCTCCAAATCTGCCAGCTCGTGCTGGGACAGTTTCTGCAATCGATATTTTTGCAAATCTGGTGGTGGTGGTCTTTGCGGTGGGGGCCTTTTTGTCAGTTTGTTGCTGGTTAAATCTTCACGTCTATTCATCTCTGAATCACGTGGAGCAAACTTCCCTTCTTCAAACTTATTCAATGTATCCAGTGATTCACAACTAATATGGCCTGTGCAACATGTGTATGCAACCACTTCCCTCTGTGGGTACGCAGGGCTATACTCAGAGAAATTCTCTGGCAGTGTAGCGGCTTTGCTGGGCCTCTCCCAAGCAGACATTTCTAGTTCTGGATTCTCCTGCTCGTCCTTGATGCTTTCTTTTGAATTCATTTCAAAAAATATTTCTTGCAAGTTACCAATACTCAGATTCTTCATCTCTCTGAAACACACCAAACATTCAATTTTTAAATTTTAATTAATTTTGTAAAGCTATTGTGTGCTTCGATTGGCACAATAATTTGATGGTATGGTTCTGCACATATGAATAAAAAATTCTAATTAAGGTCAAATCACTTTGCTTTGTCTTAGTTCCCATGGTTTAGTTACGCAGACATTGCGCAGAGAAGGACAGTTTAGCCCTGTCTACTTCCACTAACGATCTCACTGGTTAGAGATGCAGCATTTGTCTAGTCTTAAAGATAGTTTTTTTTAAAAACTTGGTTTATTTATCTTTTTGCATTAGATAATAAATTAGGGACTGGGCCAGGGAACATAAGAGTAATCATAATCCTAGTTCCAGAAGCTGTTATTAACCATGTAGAAGAAGCAGAGTTGTTGATAGGACTGCTGTGTAGCACTGTGAAGGAATAAATTTGCTCACAACTAGCATTGAGTCATGCCAATCAGTGTGTTGCAGGATCCAAAGCTCTCTGATTATTTTCAAATTAGAGTTTCCACAAATAGCTAGGGCAGTCATTGCCTTTGCTGGATACTAGCCAGTCTTCCAGAATGGTTGGGTCAAGAGCATGATCAAGGCTGAGAGAGATTGGTGGCCAGGTTATGGTGAAGATGGTTATGTGAGGGATGGAGGCGGTGGCATAGTGTTAATGGCACCAGATGAGTAATCCAGAATCCCATGTTAATGTCCTCGGTGTGTGTGTTTGAATCCCATAATAGCCAATGATGAAATTTGAATTCAATAATGGGAAAAAAAAAGCTCCTACAATTTCAAATTACATCTGGTTCACTAATGTCCTCTAAGGAAGGAAATCTGCTATCCTTACCTGGTCTGGCCTACATTGACTCTAGACCCACAGCAATGTGGATTTACTCCTAACCACCCTCTGGGCAATTTGGGATGGTCAATAAATGCTGACCCTAGCCAGCAATGCCCACTTTTTGTGAATGAATTATAGAAAATGCCTTAAGACTTCTTTTTAAACAGTAAACAGCAAATGTATATACATCATTGGTGTATCTGTTGTACAATACAGCTCTTAATGACTGCACCATATCATGTGGGAATGCTCAACCTCCATTTTTGGGGCAGAAGGTTTTAATTTTCCTTCAGTTTTCTTACTGTGGTGTGTGCTATCTACTTATACATTTATTTCTCAAAGTAACTTGCAGAAGAGATTTTTAAACACACCCCCTGTTGTCAGTCACTAACAGTCCCCATTAACAACTATTCACCCTCCCAGCCTGATCGATAGCAACTCTTTTGTCTGTCCAACTGTCTCTCTCTCTCTTTGGACTCTATCCTATCGTTAACTCCCTACCCCACCCACCTCCCTATTTTCTGCTTATAAACTGACATTTTCCCAGCCACCATCAATTCTGAGGAAGGGTCACCAGAATTGAAATGTTAACTCTGTTTTCTCCTTCACAGATGCTGCCAGATCTGCTGAGCTTTTTCAGCAACTTTGTTTTTGTTCCGGATTTACAGCATCTGCAGTTCTTTTGGTTTTTTTAATGTTTTAAGATAAAATTCCAGAATATTGTTTCATAGCTGAACTTGTAGTCACCCACTAAGTCTGGTTTGATCTGTCACACTGGAAAATCCAGCACATAAATGAACTTAAACTCTAATCGAATATTGAGAGAGAGAGAGAGAGAGACAGAGAGAGAGAGAAAAAGAGAGAGAGAGCGAGTGTGCATATGCGCCCGTATGCACGCGTGTCAGATTGACTCAGGTAGCATTACTCTCAACTTCAGTCACAAAGTTGTGTCTTGGAAATCCATACAGGATTCAAGCACCTAAATCAAACCAGCAATTCAGTGCAATAATAAGGAAGTGTAAAATGGTCAAAGGTGGCTGGGACTCCTGAGATGAACAGAAAGATTAAAGTGAGAGAAAGCATATGACATATGGTTCAAATTAATTCATTGTGTGAAGCAGTATGAGACATTTCAGCAATGTGGTGAGTCACTTTACAAATACATTTTTGAAAAATTGGAAGGCTTGTCATGAACTGGTCGACTAGAAAAAAAAACCTTATCTAATAAACTTAGCTTTTGTGGTCTTCAAGCTAATATATATGCTAGTACTAGCAAATGTCAATGTGCCTTCAGGTGACAATGGGGAAATACTAATTACATTTGTAATTATTAAACAATAATTGCATTAAATTTTAAAGTGCATTAAACTTACAATAAATCAATAAAAATAACATTGAACATTGATTAAAAGTGAATAGTAGAATTAAGAGCTATGTAATACCCACATGACATGCCATTTAGTGCAAATCTCTATTCTGTTTGCTGCTGTCCTTAAGGGGTAATCACAGTTCCTCTAGTGTCATGGTGGACGTGGCTTCACCTCCCTTGCTCTACATGAACAGTTCAAGAAAGCAGCCTTTGATCGAGGCATCTAGGAGTGGCCAGACTTTTAAACTCTGGCAACATTTTTTTTTTAAGAAAACAGAGCAGTAAGTTGACATTTATTGATGTATTTAGTGCTGGACTGATGGTAAATGCTCTGGACCAATACTATGAGCTTACCTGAGATAAGGGATAAAGGAGTTCATGACTTTTATTTTTGAAAAACCAGTTTAGCTAATTACTTCCTATCAAGACGATTTACATTTTAAGTTCCAGGGTCATTGGGGTCAGCAGGCTTCGTTATGGTGGGTTGTTGCAAACTAGCAGGAGAAATAAGCAGAACGAACCAATTCATTATCAGCTTATGACGGGCAATTATGGCTGGCTTGCAACGCAAAGTAATGCCAATAGTATGGATTCAATTCCCAGATTGGTTAAGGTTACCGTGAAGAACTCTCCTTCTCAATCTCTCCTTTTACCTAGGGTGTTGTGATCCTCAGGTTAAATGACCACCAATCTTCTCCCTGGAATGAGACAGCAGCCCTATGGTCTGCTAGGACTATGGCAAATTTATTTTTATTAAATAATACTATGACTTAATATTACACTATACTGAACCTCAAGGTGGAGAACTTTCTTCAATCAGAAAAATGCCTGATAGTCCAAAACCACACAAGATTTAAACATATAATTTGTCATCAATTTGAGTAGTGGGCAGGGAAGCATGAAAGGGTTCCATGGAATTAATCACCAAGCTCCTACCTTTCTGTTGCAGTAAACTTCCTGTTTATTATTTCAGTCTGATTTAGTTTTTCCACCGGATATCCCTGCAAAGAAGATTTGCCAGTCAGTACAGAGAAACATCCGTAGACCTATTTACAGCACAGTTGGGAAACACATCAACATTGTCTTGGCTTTACTCTCGCTTGCTAGAGTGGAGGCAGTTCCTTTAATTAACAACTGAAGTAAATATATCACAGTGACTGGACAGAAAACGTAGAACCTGAAATAAAAACTGCAGTGCAATCCCAGGATGGTGAACAATACCTGAAATAGTCATTTAATAACTAGTGTGCTGTTGAAAAAGTATAAAAATACAATTCTGTTATTCATCAGTTATCTTCATCCTATTCATTACTGTTTTACACCACCTCTACTACATTTGACGAACACTGACATCTTTAGGACTTACATTTAAAAAAAAAGATTATAAAGGTGCTAAATCTGCTGGCTGGAGCTACGGTGCAATTCAGCAAATACTCTCCCCACCCCCTCTTGCCTGGCTGATGTAATTTCTTCTGTGCAAGACACAGAAGTCAGACTGTTCAATTACGGGAACGAGAGGAATTAATCACAGCTGAACTGACATGACTGGATTATAATGAGGTGTGGGAATCTCTGTTGAGCAGGTCTGCCAGTCTAAGACGGGGAAAACTGGGAATCAACATTGGGTCAGTATAAATTAGCACCAAACTATGATTGCACTTATCCTGTGAGAAGCCCCAGCTAAACAAGATTTAAATGATATTGACCTCAAAGCTTTGGACACATCAATGGAGTCTCAATTCAAAGAACTTGAGCATGTGTAGTCTCCCCAGTTGTTTTGGACGCAGAGACTGAAACATAGGGGTCATAATAGGTTTGGAATATTGTCCAGTATGTTCTATCAATAAAAAGCAGTACAAATCCAATCTGGCCAAATACTTCCTGAGCCAATAACTCTATTCTTGTTCGTAAGCAATATTGTGGAAGGTGTCATTGACAGCGTTAAGCCACCTGACTTACACTGCAATAACTTGCTCAGAGATGATCAATTTGGGGACACTTGGCTATAGATGCAGTTACAGTTCAAGCATAGGCAAAGGAGCTGAAATTAAAGCAGAGCTGAAAGTGAGTGCCTTTGACATCAAGGTATAATTTTACTTAGTACAGAGTTCTTGCAAAATTGAAATCATATTGTATGGTATCATACGGTATTTAGGGATCAAACATCTCAGACCAATGACACTGCTGTAAGAGTTCCTCAGGCTGGTGTCATAGGCCTATCCCATTCCATCATAATGCTAGTAGTGGGGATGTTCAGTGATGATTGAATAATATTCAGTACCATTCCTGACTACTTAGATTCTGAAGGAGTCAGTATCCAAACGCAGCAAGACTCGGGCAATTTCCAGGATTGAGCTAATAAATGGTAACTAACATTTGCACATCACACGTTCTAGGCAATGACGATCTAGAACAGGCAGTCTAACTATATCTCCCTGACATTCATCATTATCATTGCTGAATTACCCATCATCAATAGTCTAGGAATGACCATTGAATAGAAACTGAACTGGGCTTGTCAAACAAATACTAGAGCAGGTCAGAGGCTGGGAATGTGCAGCAAGTAAATCACCTTGTGACTCAACACAGGTCAGAAGTGTGACAGAGTTCCTGACACTCGTTTGGACGTCATGTATCTCTGTAAATGTATTGCTTATAATCAGGAAGGAAGCAAGTTGGGCAGAAAGTGCCTGAATTAGTAACCTTCCTCAAAATGAACAATACAGCATTACTATTTTCAATACTGTATATGTAATTAATTGAAAACAGAATGTTTGATATGCTGTGGAACAAGCAAAACTAGCAAAAGGCTGGAGTAAAGTACTGCCATCCTCCTGTCTTTCATACAACATCCCTCCCTAAACTATCTGTTCCCCCATAGTTATGCTACCTCAAGGATGTCGAGGCCAAGACTGGGTCTAAAGTGAGAAATGTTGAATTACATGTACATTATGAACTCTCTGAAGTGCTTAGTGTTGCAGTGTTCCCTGTATTACACTTTTAATCTTGTGAGTGATTCCACCTGAATCATGTATTTTTCTCTGTAGGCTGTAACTTCAGCTTCTTTAGTGATGTTCGACATAGAGTAGCAGTGGAACGGTACTTTTTGGAATGGAGATCAGTAACTAGTGGTGTTCCGCAGGGATCAGTGCTGGCACCTTTGTTGTTAAATCTGGAGGAAAACGTAGGTGCTTTGATTAGTAAGTTTACGGAGTTGTAGACAATGACGAGGATTGTCAAAAGATACAGCGGCATGTAGCTAGATTGCAGATTTTAGCAGAGAAACGTCAAATGGAGTTTAATCCAGACAAATGTGAGGTGATGCATTTTGGAAGATAAAATTCAGGTGCGAATTATACAATAAAGGGTAGAACCCTTAGGAGCACTGACGTACAGAGGAAGCTGGGTGTCCACAGACCCCTGAAAGTGGCAGCACAGGTGGATAAGGTGGTCAAGAAGGCATGCAGTGTGCTTGTCTTCATCGGCCAGGGAATCAAATATAAAAGTTGGCAAGCTATGTTACAGCTGGATTAGGCTACATCTGGTCACTTTGGAGAGGGTGCAGAGAAGGTTCATCAGGATGCTGCCTGGTCTGGAGTGTTTTTGTTATGAGGAGAAGTTGGATAAACTCAGCTTGTTTTCACTGGCAAGATAAAGGCGGGGGGGAATGTGATACAGGTCTACAAAATTATGAGAGGCATAGATAGTGTGGATAGTCAGAGGCTTTTTCCAGGGTGGAAAGGTCAACTGCAAGAAGGCATAGGTTCAAGGTGAGAGGGGCAAGTTTAGGGGAGATGTATGGGGAAAATATTTTGTACAGAGGGTTGTGGGTGCCTGGAACGCATTACCAACAGAGGTGATGGAAGCAGGCACATCAGCAATGTTTAAGGCGTAGGCTGATAGACACCGGAGCAGGAGGCGAGCAGAAGGATAGAAACCATGTATAGGCAGTAAGGAACGGGTCTAAATAAGGACTAGGAATTGGCACAGGCTTGGTGGGTCGAAGAACCTGATCCTGTGCTGTATTGTATAATCTGATAGAATAGTGGCATTTGCCCTGTGTCAAAGTTAAGAATATTGAGGTTTCCATTGGCATAAACAGATTCTGTCAAACAGGAGTTGATTAAATCACCAATTTGCCCTTAGAATTCCTCAGGGATCTTTTCTAACGGTGTCAGGGATCTTTTCTAACAGTGGTGGATCTATTGTATTATCATCTCTGGATTAAAAAGCATTTAGTATTTTGTTGCTCTGAAGCTCCTGCACATCTTCTGTAATTGACGTCGACTTTTGAAAGTGCAGCATTCTTCTGTCATTGCTGAACATTGTTTTTACCTGTGAGGCTCTTTTAGTTCATAACACAAACCTGATATTTGCTGTTTGGACTATTCTTTGTGTTGAAATTTCACATGGCTTGAACATTTATACCTTTTGAAGTAGTTAGGGGGCTGTTGTTTTCCTGTAGTTAAAATGGTTATTTTCTTTCAAGTTTTGTCCAAGTATCTTCTTGATTTTTGCTTCCATCAAAACTTAAATAGCTTTCTCCAAAGTTAAATCTTCTTTGGACTGTAATAAATCTGACAAGGACTATCAATAATTCCCAAATTAATTCACTCTCTCAAAGCTGGATATCAAAGCTCCATTGTCACAGATTTTATTTGATCAGTAGGTACCATTAATGAAAAGATCCATCAATTCTAGGTGCTGAACTCTTGTTAAATCTTGTGCTTTCAATAATTTTGTTTGTTCTCAGATTAAAGTAATTGTCAAAAGCTTGAAGCACATCTTCAAACAAATCTGTGACTTCCTTTGTGTTTTGGTGATTTTTAACATTAGCTGTAGGTCCAGTTGACGACAATGTGTTGTTATTTGTTCAGCTTGAGGTTTAGTCTTTAATTTTAAAGCAATTTGTCACATTAAGGAATTGTTTTCCATGAAGTGTTCGATCCTTTGTTCTGTTTGGTGTATCTTTGATATTAATTCTTTGTGGTAGTATTATTTCTCCTGCCATTTTCTTCTTAAATGTGATAATTTATATTTCTTCATTTAAATTTGCAGTACCCAATGCTGTTTGTCATCTGCTGGCTCTAAGCTTTTAACTTTTAATAGATCATTGCTTTTCTTTAAATCTTCTACCCACTGATTTTGATAATTTTACTAAATAGCAATCCTGTCCTCATGTCCTCTATTCTAGCAACACTCATTTTATTCAAATATAGCTTCCGGTTCTGTATTTTGGTAATGTTGTCATATTTTACTTACCTTTAAAAAATATTAAATAGCAATACTGTATCACTGTACTGCTTACTGGGGGGTTTCTGCATTTTTGGCAATTAAACTGTTCTTTTATTTCTCGACCTTCAGCGGCTAAGATGAAGGTTGCTTGCATTTTAGCAGGAAAAAAAATTGACATATTCTCATCTTTCACAACCTAAAACACTGTGCAAGCCCAATCTCTTACTTTCAAAATGAATCTCTATGGCTGTAGCCTTAATAAATCTTCTTGCTAAATCCATACTTTAAATGATTTATGTCTTGACTGTATCACAGTCTCAAAATTCTTCTATCATCTTCTGTTAGACTTGGTCTTCAAAACCTTCAAAACAGCTCTTTTAGGAATCATCATCTGCTCCAATGTTCCTGAGGCTGCGGTCTCAGTATAAATTAATTTAACGGTCTTGATTGCGCAGCACTAGCCATGCCTTGTGGTGCCTGCAGTTAATGGCAACAATACTCACCGTCAATAGTTAGTGCCTTTTCTTTCCCCACTTCTACCCTTCTCTGCCTAGTTCTTTGCACCATTAATTTAAAGTGTTTTTTCCCCCTTGCTTACAGGCACCTTTAATGTTACTTTGGAGCTCTAAAATGGTCACTTCTCAGCTGAACCTCAAACTTGGTCTGCACCTACACATTTCTCTTTTGTCAGGTCAGCATCTAACAAGTGTGACTAGTTTCTTTACACACTTATTAGCCTACACTGCTTCTCCTTCACTTCTTACCA